AAAAAAAAAAAAGTTAGAATTTTAAGGAGAGAGACAAAAATGATTAGTAGAATAAAATCAACAGGGCCTTTCCTTTTTAAAAAATTTTTTTAATGTTTATTTATTTTTGAGAGAGAGAGGGACAGAGCGCGAGCAGGGGAGGGGCAGAGAGAGAGGGAGACACAGAATCCGAAGCAGGCTCCAGGCTCTGAGCTGTCAGCACGGAGCCTGACGCGGGGCTCAAACACACGAACTGCGAGATCATGACCCGAGCTGAAGTCAGAAGCTTAACTAAGACTGAACCACCCAGGTGCCCCAATAGGGCCTTTCTTTTAATAGTATGGAAAAATATGCAACTAGCTTTTAAACTTTTACAGCTCCGTATCATGCTTTAGTACAGGGGCTGACAAACTAAGGCTAACCACCTGCCTGTTCCTCTAAGTACAGTTTTACTGAAACCCAACCCGCCCATTTGTTCATGTATGGTTTGTGGCTGCTTTCACACTACAATGGCAGAGCTGAGAGTTTCCACATATACTATAAGACTCAAAATTTTAAATATTTACTATCTGGACTTTAAGAAAAAGTACTGACTCCTGCTTCAGCAGGCTTACTAGTATAAGAAATTATTTTGAACCCAGGGCAATGCATGGACTTAAATAGCTAAAACCAAAGCTTGAAAGCAACAGGGATTAGAAATGATTATTATATTCTCACCAGGAAGACAACTCAGGACTATGCAGCAAATGCCCCCAAAATACCCGAAGGAGAGGCGCCTGGGGGTCTCAGTCGGTTCAGCCTTCTCACTCTTGGTTTTGGTTCAGGTCATGATCTCACAGTTCATGGTTTCAAGCCCCGCGTTGGGCTCTGTGCTAACAGCATGGAGCCTGCTTGAGATACTCTCTCTCTCTCTCTCTCTCTGCCTCTCCCCCATGCTGGTTCTCTCTCTCTCTCTCTCAAAATAAATAAACATTAAAAAGGGAGGGAGGGACAGGGTGGAAGGTGGATTTGAAAGAAGCTAAATATCCACATACTTTAAAAGGACCGGAAAGGTATACACCAAAATGTGAACGTTGGTTTTAAGTAAATTATAATACAGGAGAAAGAAGGAAATGGGAACAGAAAATTTCATTTGTTAGGTATTAACAGAAAATTCAATTTTTGATCTGTTCTAAAATAAGTTTTAAAACTCATAAAAATAAGTAAGAATAAGTTTTATAACTAAACTTCTACAAAAATATTCTTTTCTCAATGTATACAGAATAATGACATTTTAAAATCATATTTATGAGAGCACTTCTGTCAGGACTGAATAATATAAGACTACGGAAAATGTCCCTTTCTTTACCTGAATGTCAATGTAAGGTCCTCAGCTGGAACCTTACTTTGTGGTTCTGGTTGTCCATTTTCTGCTTGCTTACTTGTATTCAATTTGCCTTTCATGTCCAGAGAACACTGGTTCTCCTTGGAAAAAGAAGGAAGTAAATTTAATTACCTTATATTTTATAATGCCAATGAAAGAAGATCAAATATAGATAATATAAACTGATGATCCATAAATCATATTCAGTCTTTATAAAATGACCAAAGGAACAGGCAGTCTGAGAGACATACCTAACAACAGAGTACATCTACTCACTAAAAAAGCTAGAAAACAAGGGGGAAAATGCCTGAAATGAGAAAACCTGATGCCTTAGAAAAGATAAGCCAAAATATAATAACTACCTATAATATACTTATTGAAAGCAGAAAAATAAAACACCTATTCATCTGCTTAGAAGGAATGTGAAAACTATGCAACAAAAGTCAATAATTACCCATGCAACCTGGGGGGACGGTTCGACAATATACTAAAATCAGTATTGGTGCGCTAGGAAGCAAACCTCAAACACATCCATGGATAGAACTCCTCAAGAAGGAATGTGTAGACTGTATTTCATTCATAACAAAAAACAGGTCTGCAATAACTAAAGGGCTATAAAAACTGAATGTTTTTTTGCAAATACATATTTTTATAACATAATGGTATTGCAAAATCATAAACACCAACCCCTCGGCTTCCCTAGTCAGTATGTTTAACAGTAATTTAATAACCTCCAATTAACTACCTTTTTCCCTGAAAGTTTTTTCATAATGCAGAATCCTAAGACAAAGAATATACTCAAACCAAAAGGGAATGAGAGGAATGAATAAAACCAGGAGGCATCCCATCTTCATAAGACTTATTCAGAGTATTAATCCTTCACTGGAGTGCCCTGGGGTGATGAGCCTAGAGGCTTGAGTTCTGGGACAGCACTACACAGATGCTCTCTGGTCACACCCCCGCCCCTCCAGCCGGCCCCACCCTTTCCCACCGTAACACTCACCATACTCAGTTCCCGGGTTCTCTTCCCGATTTCCCTTTCCACCTGGTGCAGTTCCAAGCTCAACTGCTCACTTGAAATCATTCCAGGCCATTTTGGAGGTGGTGGTGGTGGTGGTGGCTGGGACTGGCCTGCCAGGGTGTTCACCTCCCTCTGCAACACCAGCCTGTTACTAACAGCCTAGTGCATAAAGCCAAGCACATACACAACTCAACACATTTCACACCATGCACAGAATGACCAGGCCCAATCCAGAACATTGCCTCAAATACCTTTCACTAAGATATTTGCAATAAAAATGATGCAATGGTAAGGCACTATCTCTTTGAGTACCATCTGAATTTAAAATGAAAAAATAGGGGACTTAAACTTAGTAAAGAATATTTGAAAGAGAAGTCAAGTACAAATGTACATCTTTCCCCCTTTTTTAAATGGAATTTTCTGAAGTAAATCCTGCAATTTATTTCTGTGAAACCTCAGTAATGGCAAGGATTTTTAACCATAATGAGTTAAACATGTGGCAAGCTTCCAAATGCTGCCGATACTCTTTTGGAACAGAAAACTGGTCTACAAATTTCAATTAAGACAAAAAGCCATAAATTATCAGGATAAGGAATAACACTTTACAGAGTTAATGGTCTGAATCTTTAAAAAAGTTAATCAACTAAAGATGATAAACATAAACACAGCATTCTCTTTTTTTACAATAGGAATTAGCAAGAAGTTCTGGACCAATGTAAAGAAAACAATGGCAAATGAAGACAGAAAATGAGTATTACACAGTTAAAAAAAATTCTAAACCTTATTGCTTATATAAGAGCACAAGCCAGACATGGGTTCCAAAAAAAAAAAAAAAAAAAAATCTCCTGTTGGTCTTGGTAATAAGAGAGTCTAAGATAGAATTAGTTAAAAATTTATTTCCCCCTAAATTTTTTTTTTAATTTCTAAGGAGATGCCTTACTTATTAAAGATCTTGGTAGAAACAAAAGACTAATATTCTAACAGTTATTTTTCTCTCCAGATGGGGAAAATGTATTTATCAGAATACAGTCTTCAGAATATAGTCTTCAGTTTACTAAATTCAAAGATTATGCTCTCATGCAAAGGGTAATATTAACAAAACCTAGTCTTCTTTACATGGCACTTAAAAGGATTTTTAAAATTCTTTGTTTTCAGCAATTTTTTTCTCTAAGTGTCAAGCAGCATGGTAGGAAGAATACTGGATACGAAGACTTTGGTTCATATTTCAACCTCTGTGAAACTCGTATCTTTCAACCAGAAGAGGGGGGACTGTACCACTTGCCCTAACCGACCTATCAAGAGATACTGTAAGGGTCAAGTAGGATATATGTCAACTTAAAACTGAAAAAACTCTATTAATGAAAGATACAATTGTTATACAGAGGCTATGCTTAAGTCCAAGTTCTAAGCTTCTACTTTTTTTTTTT